AAAAAAAAAAGCAACAGAAAAGAAGTAAGACTGCAGGGTGGAAACTTACGAGACTCAAAAAGACAAAGCGGTCCCATCAGCTTTTACTCTATTGTGTTTGCTTGAAAGAAGGGTGTTGGTCTATAGGACTTCTTGAGGTCCTGTCTAGTTTTAAAAACCTACATTTCTATTAAAATTGAATCTCAAAAAGCCTTTGCTGATCTGTGGGGGGAAACAGCAATTATTCAAATACTTTCTTACAGTAAAGACCTTAGTACAGTCTTATACTGTAAACAAAATGAGTCTAGAGCTAGGGAGGTACAACTTTTTATAGAAAGGAATCCATTGGATTTTTCTATACCCTGATCTGAAATTCTTGTTCATTATCAATTTGGTAAATTCTTAGAGATGCCTTACTTACCTCTTCCAAAGTGACAGACTACAATTTAGGACAAACATTCATATTTGCAGTAGGGTTCCTACTATTTCTCCTTTGACCTATTCATGATCTACAACCCACAACCTCAAACTTCTGCAGATAGTTGTGATCAAGGTCATAAGAAGATGAAGGTGACTGCCAAAAAAATAGCTGCTTTGCTGCTTAACTAAGCTAGCTTTGCAGAGCTTCCACCTGAACCTGTTTAATCTTCTTACCCAACAGTTTTGTGTGTCTCCATAAGAATGGTTCCATTTGGCCCTGGGACAGGCATGGAATTATAGCGGATGCTGACTTGTGACTTGCGCAACAAGCTCTCTCGGGCTATCTTGAGTCCTTCATAGAACATTGCTAGTAAAAATACCGCCACAAAAGCTCCAGCCATTTCTAAGAAGAGAAGGAAAAGATGGTGGTATTACAAAACATGTGCAAAATCATTAATAAATGTGCTTGTCCAAGAGAGAAAGATGACATAAAAAAGTGCTACTTTCAGCTCCTTAACACATTACACTGTTACCTCTTCACTAGTCCCAATAGGAAAACAGCAAAATGATGTTAGCAAAAACCACTGCCTCTGCCAAAGAACACACCTTTATTAAGATACAGAAATTATTTGACTAAAACTAATCTTTTGGTCTGGCTATTTGGTGGCATTAAATTAGCTTGTTACACTGGGAGAAACAAAAAGTAAAGTATGGAAAAGGAGAACAGAATAACTTATTTTTAAAGTGCTGGCTACATTTCTTGAATAGACACCTATGTCTTTCACACTGAGTGTTGGCAACGATATGTGATATGAATGTATTCAAACTGCTAATCTCAAACACTAATTGAACTAAATGCTCTCCTTCTTCCCAAAGCAAACTAATTTTGTGGATCCAAAGATACTTCTGGTACCTAAAGTAGTCCAAGTGACTACTGAGTGTGTATAATTTATATTTAAGACACAAGTCGTTATTCACAAAAAGAGATGGGTGATAAGCTACCCCAAAACTAGGAAAAACCCAGAGATGGGCCATGCCAAGAATCAAAAAAGATGTAGACCATTGTCTGGTACACCAGAAAGAGCGCTGGACTAGGTAGGTTTAAAAGGTATGCATCCTTGTCTTAGAGCTCCAGCTTCCTAATGCTATGTGATTTGCTGCAAAGCGCTGGACTAGGTAGGTTTAAAAGGTATGCATCCTTGTCTTAGAGCTCCAGCTTCCTAATGCTATGTGATTTGCTGCAAAGCGCTGGACTAGGTAGGTTTAAAAGGTATGCATCCTTGTCTTAGAGCTCCAGCTTCCTAATGCTATGTGATTTGCTGCAACCAATCTCACCATTTTAGTCTTAATTTATCTACAAATGAGAGTTGTACTAGATCAGGGATTCTTGACTTAGGCTGTTTTGTTGTGTTTACAAAATGCTATGTCATTTGAATTCGACTGTAGTTTTCTATCTAGGACCAATAATTTATCAAAAAAGGAAACACTCTAGAAAAGGATGAAAAGACATGGATTGGAAAATATGTCTATCTGGTATTTATTTTTCAGAAGTTACAAAATAGACACATGCTATTCAAAGAAAATATACCAGAAGACCAAAATAAGTATAATGGTTTCTCATTTTCTAGGTAGGAAATAGGAACCAAATGATTATGCATCACAGTCATCCAAAAAGATTCAGAAAGAGGTGCTGATTTTCCTCAATTCTTTGTCTAGTAGTACTTTCTCAGAATCTCACTATGTCTTATGTGAGTGTCACCTTCAAACACTACCTAATGGTGCTTACTCACCTCCAGCTGTATTGATCACCAAACCAGAAAACAATAGTTCCACATTTTTAAAGCCAAAGTAGAAGGTCATAGGCTGTCAAAAAATCAAAACAAGGCAATTAGAGATGATTGAAAATAGTAAACAAGTGTTTTTTAGGCAAAAAGCTCAGAACATTCAAAAGTAGCATATCTGGATAATAAGGTAAGAAGAGGCATTATTGAAGTGGGAGGCTTTTCCCCTTACATTGCTATTACTACCACATGAACTAAGCAAAAGTATTCTTCCCTTTGTGTCCATCATTAACTTTGGTCTTTCCCCCTTTTCTTAACAAAGCATAAAGACCAGAACCGTACCCAGAAAAGGTTCAATTTGAAAGAAGATACTAAAGAGAAAAGAAGCCTAGAAATTCTGGTTCCAGTTTGACTCTAACTTGTTACATAATCATGGGCAAATTTCTTATCTGGATCTGTCTTGGTTTTTCCTCATCAGCAAACTGACCTTAAAAGATAAAGACATCCCAGTACTCAAATTCTATTATTTTTCTTACCCAAGTAGATAGGAAAGGGCCTAAAGAGTACCTCTCCTGTGGCCTTACCATCATCATGCTATCATGTCCTCCATGGGCATGTGAGACCGTGGTATTGTGGTCCATATGGCTCATCCCTGTATGATGGGAGGAATCCATTTTCCCAGGAAACCTTCAGTCAGCAGAAGATCCTTTAAAAAAATAAAAATTCTATATATTAACTTCAAAGATACAAAATCTTGTTTCTTGAAGAATTATTTTTCCTAATATGCAGAGGGTAATAGAAGCTATTTGCGCTAAGAGAGATAACCTTTGGCGATTGTGGTTGAAGGGATGTGCCCCTAACTCTTCCTTATTTTGCAGAATGGTTTCTTTAACAGACATATTCAAAATATGTTCAAATTTTTAAAAGAGATAAGGGGAAAAAGAGTAATGCCTTAGGTTTCAGGAAGCAAATATTTTGTAGTAATGTACAAATGGATGCTCTTAATAAAACCTAACTATTTTAAGGCTGTTCTAAACATAAATGTCAGTAGAAAAAAAAACACATACTTCAGATAATTTACCTAATTGGATGGCTTGTGTTTAAACAGGATATTCAGAATACATTTTCACATATAACAAGACCAGAATTCAGCTAATTTAAATTTGAAGAAAGGTCTATTGCTGCCTTAGGCAAGTACTGTGCTGAGAGTCTAGATACCATTTCAATCTGAGCAGGGCATTAGAGTGACAAACACTGAAAACAGTATAAATTCGATATTCTATATTAAATTATGTCTAGACAAGGGAACATTCAGTCTTGTCTCTTCACCTCATCACTGCTTTATTTTTTCAAAAGTCAATCTGGGACATAAACCAAGGAGTAAGAACATCTGTAGCTCTGAGAGGCTGGGGGTGGATGTTGGTGAATTCTTTTTATGGGCCCCTTAACTCCAATTTGTGGAGGAAAGAGCAGCTTAAAAAATTCCAAGTAGGTATTTATGTTCATAGTTCCCTACATGGTCCAAGAGTGGTTTGCACTTAAAGGTTGGCTGTTAGAATCCATCCAGTGGTACCAGAGAAGACAGATTTGGTGATCTGCTTTTGTTAAGATTATAGCCAAGAAAACCCTGTGAAGTAGTTCTACTTTGTAATACACTGGGTTGCCAGAATTGACCCACCAGCAACTAACAACAATTTATGTTCATGAGCCTGAAAGTAGCTTTCATTACTCATTCCATCAATAATATTTATCACATTCCTGTTGTTGTTGCTGTTAAGTGTCGTTAAGTCAGTTCCAACTCAGAGAGATCCTGTGTAGGGTTTCTGAGGAACAGCTGATGGATTTGAACTGCTGACCTTGCAGTTAGCAGTGTTTATCCTACAACATCACACCAGGACTCCTATCAAGATCCTGTTGTTGTTAAGTGCTGTGGAGTTGGTTCCAACTCATAGGGACCCTGTATAGAGTTTTCAAGGAGTGACTAGTGGGCTTGAACCACCACCTTTTCCAACAGTGCCACACCAGGACTCCTAGTATGTGCCAAATTCTGATCTAACTGCTAGTAATTCAATAGCGAATAAGACAAATGAGAAAACCAAGAAACAAGTAAACTGAACAATTTCATGGTGTGCTTAGTGTGGTGAAGGAAATCTTTAGGGTAACAAGACCGCTTTGGATCAAGGGTAACACCTCCGTAAGTGTTGAAGAGGAAGTGTATGTGCAACAAGAAAATGATACAGGTTCAGGGAGCCATGTGTGTCTAACTCAAAAGTACAAATCCTCAGGTTACAGCCATCTATTCCTCTCTCTTTAATGCCCCCCAGGATTCTGTGAGAGCAGGTTAAGAAACAGGTTATTTCAAGCAAAGCACAAGGCAAAGGCATCAGGCAGAGACAGTCAAAGTTTGACTCTGAACAGATACTACATTACTTTTAATGAGTTTTGATAATCTGGTATTAGTAATACCATTGTCACAAAGGGACTAGATTTTAAGTTGCTGTTGTTGTTAAGTATTGTCAAGTCGGTTCCAAGTCACAGTGACCCTGTATAGGGTTTTCAAGGATCAGCTGGAGAGCTTGAACTGCCGACCTTAAGGTTCAAACTGACCTTGTAGTCCAGCGCATTAACCCAAAGAGCCACACCAGGACTCCAGATTGGAGGTGCAAAGAGATAAATAATACCATCTTAATTGACAAAGTTTTTATAATAAACACTGAAAACCAGAATACATTCACTCAAAACCTATCAGCAAAACAAAAGGGCACACAAAGAGGGCAGCCTTATTCACATAAAAAATAGTATCATGGTAAAATCTGAGTGATTACAAATTAGGATTATGTACCAGGCAAATGAAGTGAAATAAGAATGGAAAGAAGATGTGTTGACCAGAAAGACCAACTACACAAGCTATTGTTATCACTGTTGTTAAGTGCTGTTGAGTCTGTTCTAATTCATAGCAACCCTTTCCTAGGCTGTTAATCCATGCAAGAGCAGAAAACCTCATCTTTCCCCCACAGAGCGGCTGGTGGGCTTGAACCACCAACCTTGTGGCTACAGTCCAGTGGTTATCCTACAGAGCCACTGCACTCTCACACAGCTACTGCAGTCTCATAAAGAGAGTAAAGTAGAAGGCACAGATTTTGTCTTCTTCCAATAAGAGGTTGGAAAATGATTACAAGATAAGAAAACCATAAAAGATAATTTAATTCCATACTATTAACATGAATTGTGGTCACTGATTCAGTGAATATTTACTGAGTACCTCCGGGTACAAGATACTGAGGAAGATAAAGACAGGAATCAGATGGTCTTCAAGGAGTTTCAAGGCTAGAAGCTAAAAGGAAAAACTAAATCATCATAATTTTTACTTTGGGGCATAAGATGACATGTAAAGGACTGTTAAAAAAAAAAAAGCAAGAACACAGCACCACAAACTATTTAAGATTTATGTCCTTGATGAACTTTTATATATTCTTCCCATTAACACTTGTTGAAGACCCTAACCCCAAACCAAGCATGTTGCTGGTGAGTTGGCTACAACTCATAATGACCCAACAAGGCAGGGTAAAACTGTTAAGAGAGTTTCTAAAGCTATTTATAAAAACAGACAGCCACATTTCTTCCCATGGAGCGGCTGGAGTTTTCAAACTGCTGATCTTTCATTAGCAGCTGAGTGCTTCAACCCTGCACCATACTAAGACTCCTTTTTGGAGACCTCAGGGTCCTCCTAATTGTTAAAGCACAACATTACCAATTATACAAAGCTGTTCAACGAGGATACATTATTAAATATCTTCAGACATACCGGTGACACTGAAATTTCTATTAAAATTTCAAGAATATCTTTCAAAGTATGTACTACTTTGAAGCATCATCTTTACAGGATACATTTCACATTTAAATATATTAGGAAAAAGGACAGAAGTAAAATCTATTTCACAATCACAAATAGACCATAAAATTCTAAGCAAGACTTACCTTATGGAATCTTGTAGAAACTAACATACCAACAAACACTGTATGCATAAACACTAATGAAATTCCATGGAAATACGGCAAACTCAAATGACATCAAGAAAGGAAAAACTTAGAAATTAAAGCATAATCATTGAAAGTCATTAAAAAATTTTCAATTCCTACTTGGCTTTTCAGTGATGTGGTATGTGTATGTGGATAATTCATTCTTCTAAAGCAGTCAAATACACCTGACTAATCCTTTTTAAAATAGGATTTTTACTTACAGAAGTTAAAACAGCAATTCGTTTTGGTCTGTTTTCTTCAATAGCTTTAATCTAAAAAGACCGAAGCTCAGTTTCTTCCAGAATCACAATGGATACTGAAGTAAGAATACGTCAAAGTCCAAGGACACAGCAACACTGCTTTTTGTCTCAATCTATAGCCTGAATTAAATGGTTTAATCTCACAGTATTCATGAGCTGTACTGTTCTGTCTTTGGTTTTATTAAATTTCTGCTAATCCCCACTGCCAACTTTCATCTACTTGCTTTCCAAGAATTGCTTCCTCTAATTCAGCTCCACCCTACACTGTCTCTTTCTAAGTACTGGGGTTCAAGGTCCACAGTAGTAGGTGGCCTTGACTTTTTATAGAGGCAAGTTTCTTGTTGTATAAGCATTTACAATTAATGAAATTTATAGAAGAATTAGGTAATGATGAGTGACAGGTGGACCCTTAGCAAAATTTAAGGTTCACTGGATTTCTGATTTTAGGACAATGTATATGTACATGTTAATTCCAGGCTAGAATTCCTGTTCTTGTTTAAAACCTCTACCTTGCATTTTTCTTCTTATCCTTATTCTTCTACTTCATCAAATTTACAGATTACTTATACAAGAAGAGCATGAATAAAACATATGAATATACAACTCAGGGACAGACCCCAAACCTAAGGATTTGTAACTTTTTATCTATGTTAAAATCGCCCTGCAAATTGAGGTGGGAAGATTAGGAAAAAAAACTCTAGTTTCATTTGCATATTTGCCAATTCCAGTAAGCTAAGTTTTTTTTTTTTGTTGTTGTTGTTGTTTAAAACAAAAAACAAAACAGAATTAAACAGGGACTCAAAGTGGAGAGGTGCCTTTGCATGAGATGATGGAGTGACAGAACTCACTCATTCTTCTGGACAGCACATTTGAAGAGTGCTCTGATTATATTTTATGTTCCAATAAAATTGCTCATCATACAAGTGGCCGTATTTGTGGGAGGCAACATGGGCTTGAGAGTCAGGTCTGAGTTCAAACTCAAGTTTGTTGTGAATACTGAGTGTATGACTTGGGAAAGTTACTTAACCTTTCTGGATTTGGTTTCCAGCCTATACAATGTAGAACGCTGCTGTAAAGATTAAATGTAATAACATACATAAACCATCTGGCCAATTATGTGACAAACACTATTATGTGGAATATTATCCAATGACTGAGCTTTGAGGAAGAAATGCTAATCAAAATATTAGCTGTTAGCTTCTTCACTATACAGTATAAAGCATTCTAACCAAGACTTTACTCAATCTCCCTTCTGTCTGTTCCATCTTCTAACTGGGTCCACAAAATGGCTATCAGTACTTATATGGACTCCTTCTTCTAGCATAGAAAACTTCTCAGGTCTTTAAGGAAATATAAGAGGAATAATCTAGGATTGATGATAGAAAAATAAAGCA